TGGGGGTTGGGGAGCTGGGGAGAGATAGCAAGGGGAGAAATGCCAGATGTAGGTGATGGGGAGGAAGGCAGCAAATCACACTGCCACGTGTGTACCTATGCAACAATTTTGCATGTTCTTCACATGTACCCCAAAACCTAAAATGCAATAAAATAAATAAATGGGAAAAAAAGAAAAACAGAGGAGAAAATAAATAAATAAATAAAAAATAATAATAATTTTACAAAAAAATTCCTTCCAAATTCTTGTTTTCTCCCCCTCACCTTCATGAAAGTAATTTTATGTATTTTGTACATGTAACAAAGCTTGCATTAGCAACTTTTCTATGGAGTCTCCTACTTGTGTCATGTCATCAATCAAGTTTCACATTAGAGTAAGTATAATTTTTTTTGTATTAGCAATGTTTGTACTGTACATTTTTCTTTTAAAATAAATAAATTTTAAAAAGAAAATAAATTATTTGAATTCTGAGACCTTTTGGTAGAATTCAACCATTGAACACTCTGGTTCTAGGATTTTCTTTTTAGTGCTGTTAGATTGCTAAACATGTTTGCTGTTTGTCTCTGTTTTCTGGTATAGAATTCCTAAAATCTTTGGAATCTCCAAAGTGTTTTCTTTTGATATGCTAAATGTGACTGACAGCTTTAGGTTGTGGCTTTTCAATGAGAACACAAAGACATAAACTAGAGTGTAGGGACTCTCAGCTTCACTCTGCATTATTCTGGAATAAAAAATGTGCTGCATGTAATAGTAGCTGCAACCCATTTTAAGATGCTGCTGTAAAGATCCCAGGTGACTGAGAGAGGTGCACACAGGACTGTGTACTCTGTGAAGCTGGTGGGAACTAAGTATAGTTAGAAGCCACACCCACATTCAAGTTAAGTTAGAAGAAACCCCATCTACTAAGAAGCAGTTGCAGTTGCCCAGACACAGGTGCAGACTCAGGCATCCCTGTGCTTTCCAGAGCCTGGGAAGCTATCCTTCCCAAAATGGCTCTGAAGTGCCTGCTTCCATAGCTTGAATCCCTTCAGCTCCCACTGTGCCTCTTTGAAATTAAAACAAGTTTTTGGCTGAGCCCAGCTGTCATGACCTGGCCATGTGTGCTTACCGTTATGGTGGTGCTGACACAATGGCCTTCTACAGCCTCATTTTTCTCTAGTCCTTGGGCATTAATGAGCACAGGAGGCTTATTGAGTCAGATAGTGACTGAGGGAAACTTGTTATGGGCCTGAAGATTTTTCTTTGTAGAGCTGAGATCATGCCACTACGCCCCAGCCTGGCACCCGATGACAGAGGAATACCCTGCCTCAAAAAAAGAAAAAGAAAAAAGAAAGAGAAAATAACTTCACATTGTGAACTGTAGCAGGAGGCAGACAGGTGCCTAGTCAGAAAATTAATGTTCCTCTGTGAAGCCCCACTTTCAAGCCATAGACTGTCTAAACCTTGGGTGGTAGGCTGTGTGTTCTGGACACCATGGTAAAAAATTTCATCTCTTTCTGGGCCCAATCGTGACCACTCATATACCAATCAGCATATTCTTTCTACCCTTTGAAGCTCATATGAGCTCCAGTCTCAAGCTAACTATGGGATCACATATGCTTGCAAAGTGAAGCTACCAATTGTGGGTCTCCTCTCCACTAACAGTTGTACACTTATTGGTGTTACATGCCTATAGTTACATAGCTGTCCTCTCCAGTAAGGTCTACAGAATCATCTTAGCAAAATTCCTACAGACAAAAGCTACCCACTCTGCATATCCTCTTTACTCAGAACTGCAGAGATGTTAGCACAACCTGTCTGCGGATTAGAGCTCTCCATTGTGGGTCTCCATTTCACCAAATGTGGCACAGAGGCAAATATGTCCTGTTTGTGAAAAGGATCTACCAACTTTGGAAGTCCTGAAACTGTACTGTCACTCAATAAGGCACCTATTTATTTATTTTTTTTAATTATCCTGCAGTTTTTCACATACTCATTTATTCTGTAAATAGGATAAGAGACAGGATTCACTGAATGGCAACACTGAAAGTTTAGTAACACAAACAAGACTGAAACACACAACCCCCCACTTGCCACATTGCTGCTTACCAGAAAAAAAAAAAAGACCGAAGAGCTTTGTTTCTTAAAAGAGACCAGACAAATCTTTCCCAAGCCAGGGATGTAACACCATTTTTGAGGCTGTGCAGTTTCTGACATTTGTAAGTTTCTGGATGCTACTGCATTGTTCAGTGCCTGCAGAGGAAATAGCTTGTGATATGCCTCATTCAGCCAAAGACTTGCAGCAAGTTATCACCTGTGTTGGCACCTTGACCTGATCACCTGATCAGAGCAAATGTGCCTAGGTATGTGCAGTGGCTGGACTCAACAGTCACTCACTCATGCACCTCTCTCTATTCTGTGCCTGGCTTATCCATAGCAGAAATGAATCTGAGTACTGAGTTTCAGCTTAGTGCAGGTTAGAAGATGGGTGGGCAAAATTAGCCTAGCAGGCTCAACAGAAACTTAGGCAACTGTGACATTATCCATAGAGATTTTTGGCTGGTGAATCAACACTGTAGATACACTGTGACAAAAGTACGTTATCAGTGGCCAGTGAATTATTTACTCGTGCCTATGTAATGGAGCCTCCATAAAACCCATTAGGAAGGATTTAGAGAGCTTCTGGATAGCCTATCATGCAGCATGTTCTAGAAAATTATGTGCAGATAAAAGCAAAAACTAATAATTTTAAATTTCAGATACAGTTTCGGTGTCTTTTTTTTGTTGGAAAGAAGTTACTGCCTTTAAAAATGTGTCCATTCCAGGTGTGGCAGCTCATGCCTATAATCCCAGCACTTAGGGAGGCCAAGGCAAGCAAATCACAAGGTCAGGAGTTCAAGGTAAGCCTGGCCAATATAATGAAACCCTCTCTCTACTAAAAAAAACAAAAATTTAGCTGGGAGTAGTGGTAGGCCCTATTATCCTAGCTACTCAGGAGGCTGAAGGAGAAGAATTGCTAAATCTGGGAGGCAGAAGTTGCAGTGAGTTAAGATTGCCACTGCACTCCAGCCCAGATGACATGAGATTATGTTAACTGGGTAACAACTAGACATGAATAAAAATTAATTATTATCTCAGCATAAATTCTAACCATATGTTTAGTTTGGAAGAATAGTCATTAGTGAAATATATGTTGGAAATTGTTATTCTGAAACATATGTAATTCTTTTTAATTTAGAATTTTGTGTCTCTGAGGTATTTTTGCCACTATAAAGTCAAAGGCACTGTTTCAGATGTTATCTGGGGTAGGGAAGCAGAGGCTGACCCCTATGTCAATTGACTGCATTCTACGATGTAAAAATAAGAAAAAAAAATTATCACAATTTTTTCTGTTACTTAAATCTAACAGAGCACCATTCTTACCTTATTTATAGTAGTCATAGATAAAAATTAGAGCTTGAAAGAAAAATTTAGTGTTCACTAGTCTGCTTTTAAATTTGGGCTTTTGTGTGCATAAAATAAGGATATTTGAGCAAGTAATTTGTTTTATTGTTTATTTTAAATTTACAGAGTTTAACAATTTCTTGTTAATATTAAATAAAGAACTTAGATGTTTTCAATTCTCCCTACAAGCGTTAGCTATTATTGAAATTATTTTGGGCTATGAAGATGAATTAGGGCATCTTCAGCTAATTATATATTCTGCTAGGCTCAGTTCCTGTGTCCTAAGCAGACAGACTGGCTTTTACTCATCAATTTTTGTTTGAACATACTTTAACATGGATTCTATCCCATCTGCTGAGCTCCAGATTTTCTGCAGCATTTCACACTCTCTCTCATTGGCCTGTTACAACTCCATCTTAGTATTACAGCAAACAAGGGTCTTACACTCCTCCAGAATAACAGGATTACAGGAAGCAAGCCTCTTGATTTGAATCATAACCTCTTGGGTGAAAGTTGCAGTCAAGAACACCTGAGAGACCAGGCCTTTGGCACATGCCTCCCATGCTGTCAGCTTTCGCTCACCAATCCACATTTCATTGGCAGATGTTTGAAACATGATCCTTGGAAATGTGAGAGTAGCACAGCCATCTGGACTCTGTCCAAAGGTAGTATACAGGGTTTGAAACCAAGCCTTTTCATTAGCACAAACCAAGTCACAAAGAGGTAGTATGGATGCACCTAGTCCAATGGCTGGGCCATTGACTGATACAACAATAAGTTTTTAAAATAAAGTGTTCACAAGGTTCTTAATGGTTTCCACAATTTCAGTGCTCATTCTATTTCTGTCATTTCTTAAATGCTTCACAATGTACCCAAAATCAAGACCACAGCAAAAGACACTGCCAGCTGCACTGAACAACACAAGTTTGCTGTCATCCACAGCAGCTCTTTCCAGGGCATTTATGATTTCTTTAATTACTTCTGTATTTAGTGCATTCTTCTCTGTTAATATGATAGACAGCAATACCTAGGCAAATCCGTTGTCTTTCTTCACTACAATGTCTCTGTATCTGTTGGGACTTTCTTTTAACCTTATGGTGAAATACATCCTCTTGATAAAAAGCTGGTCTTTTCTATCATCAATAATCCCTCTTTTTCCAACTCTCACTCTTGGAACAGATGCATGCATGTTTGTTGTTCCATTTCCTGTTGAAGGGTCCATTAATACCACTATACCTTCTTTGTTTTCTGACTCTGTGGACATGGAAGCAGTAACTGAATCAGACGCCTGAGACATTGGTGGTTGTGTCTGGGTCCTGTTTTCTATTCCAACCTCTTCTGTGTCAGGATCTGATGAAATTCTGATGGGTTTCTCTGCTGCCACCTTCAACACCACCTTGTCCTCCTGAACTGGTGAAACAGGATCTAGTTTCTCGGTTCCAGAAAGGACCTAACTGTGTTCTGGCTATTAAGTGGGCTGTGAGGTACAAGTGTCTTGATAGTTGAATTTTTCTGCTCCAAATTTTTTTGGTCACTGAAAAGTGAAGCTGTGTTTTTTCTAATGTTCTGTCCAGCAGCAAATAACTGATTGTTTTTGAATTTGTGGTATTTTCCAATCAATGCATTTTAGGAGAGTTCTTAGAAAAGCTAAACATGGAAGTTCTCGAAGTTTGTTTCCTGACATTAATTGAAGAAGTTCTACTTGTTCTGGTCCATGTCCATTTTTTCTGTTTTTCAATCTGTAGTCTGTTAAAGTCACAAATACGTTCTCCACAGCTTGTGAGGTTCTGCTCTGGTTCCCAAGTGTCATCCTTCTTGTCATAACCTTTCCACGAAACAAAATATTCAGTCTTCCCTTTTCTGTTTTGTCTTTTGTCAATAATAGCTTCAACCTCAAACTCCTTGGAAGCCATGAGGAAAGGGACATATATGGGCAACTGCTGTGCCAGCCTTTTCTCAGTTGGGTCTCTTCATAGCCACATCTTTCTGCCTCCAGTGCTTCACCAGGTGCTAGGTATAAATGAGCCTCTTCTTCTTCATGACCACTGGTGTAGTAAGAGTTGTGTGAAGAAGCAGTCAAAGAGCCTTACCCTCTTCACACTTACTCTTTGGTGGGACAGCTTGGACTTGGTCTTATGATGCCAAGATAGCTGGCTAGGTAGCTTCAGGTAAGATTAGCTAAATCCACAGCTTCTGCTCTTACATAGTGCACAAAGCTTTCTGCCTGCCTATTACTCTCTTTTGTCGTTGCCATGACAATTATATTGAACATTCTAAAGTTATAACATTTTTAAAGTTATACTAGCTTACCTGCAACAACATGAAAACACACACTTCTCTATATGTTGGCCCCCGTTATTTTACTTATTCAGTTCTCAAAATTATATCTGTAATTATGGTATGTCAAAAACACATATAAAGTTTTAGTGATAACTTTTTACTAAATATATTAGTGTTACAAATTACGTGTAGAACAGATTTTGGAGCTACACATTGTTAATTTTTTTTATCTTTTATAATTGTTTATTTATTTGTCTAAATTTTAATTTTTATTTATTTGTCCTGCTATTTAGCGTCCATTCATTTCATCCTAAAGAACTCAATAAAGCATTTCTTAAAGGTTCATCTACTAGAAAAAGGGCCCAGATTTCATCTGGGAATATCATGATTTCTACCTCACTTTTAATGGACAATTTCTTTGCACATAAGTTTCCTGTTTGAAAGTTTTTTTTTTACAACACTTGAAATGTGCTAGTCTACTGCTTTGTGGTCTCCAAGTTTTCAGATAAAAAAATTATTGATTATTTTTGAGGCTTGTTTTTACATAACTAGTCATTTCTTTCACCACTTTCAAGAGTCTCTTTGTTTTTGTTTTAAATGACTAAATTAACATGTAAGTTTATGTGTGTTTCTTTGAGTTTATCTCACTTGAAATTTGTTGAGCGTTTGGGTGTTTATTTA